GTATATAGTAATGACACACAGGGAAATGAGTACCATAATTACAAAATAGTCCTAATGAACAAAATGTTAAATTATATTACTCTTTAGAATTTCATAATACATTTGTTAATTTCAGCATTTAACAGAACGCCTAAATTACACACTGTAGTTTCATAGAACAATTTTGTGTATACATGATGACTTATATGAATAAATAATAGCAATTACACAAAGTCCAAAGGAGCAAATTTAAAGCCTAAATGTATAGGGGGTCTATTTAAATACTGGTAAGCACAATTCCCTTAAGTAGTGGAAAGTAGCACACATATTATTTGGGTCTTGTTACAATATATTCAACCCTTGGAGGAACATTCTATACTTCCCCTTAAGTGAAATCCTCTTATTTCTTAGCAGACGTAAGTATGGTTGTCCTGCAAATCCTTCGCCAACTGTGGCATCTATAAGGAATTTTAATTTAATTTAAAGCAAAAGGAGTACTAAGCATTTGATATGAAAAGAAGAGACCAGAAAGCAAAACAAAACATCGCACTCTAGGGCCTAAATAGTTTTCTGTCTCCTTATGTTTTCAAACTCCTATAATGTGCAAATAAGAATATGCATAATGTTTAACACAACATTAAACAACTGTGATGAGTAACACTAATTTATTTCTAATAATTGTATTAGCAGGGTGGCTTTATTCCATTTGCAATGAAAGCGGAAGGCAGCCTGCCCAGCTTCCAATACAAACAAACAGACAAACGAACAGGCAGTGCTAAATGTTCTGTTGGATGGAGACCAACATCTACGCTCCAAACAGTTCCCAATGCATTAGATTAGCTTGCCCGTCCTACCAAAATGTTGGAAGTGTTACTGTAAGATCTATAAAACAGAATGCACACACATTCATCTGCTGTTTAAAACTTTGCTATTAAACCAGGGAAGAAAATGTCTTTCATTCCTTTTTAGAAAACGATGACCTATTCTTTCCAGTTAACTTTCACACGCTAGGCTTTCATAGAAAATAATAGCTCGCTTTCAAGTTAAAGATGTTTCCCCCCCAAAAAACATAACAACCCCATCTCTGGGATAGTGATTACAGTTTCAGACGAGATCAGGGAGATCCAAGGATCTATTCTAAGCCAAGAAAGATCATTTAGTGACTAAGCCCAGTCACTTTCTCCTATCTCATCTCAACCTATCACAAAGGGTGAGTATTGCAGGGAGAAAAATGGTTGCGGGAGCGATAGGTACAACCTCTTGAGCTCTTGGGCTAAGACCCCAGTTTTGAGTGAGGATATAAATCCCACATTAAATAAACAAACTGGTATATTGGATACCATATTTTACCGAAGTATCTATATACTACTAAAACTCTCATTGTCATGACCTTTTACTGGGAAAAATGGTGCATCATAAGACAACAAGTTTGGAATCAAGATGCTTCAAATGGGCCTGACCGGTACAGCACTTTGTACACACTACTGTGACTTCACCATGCAATCTTCTTGACTTGCACCACCCCATGCATACAGCTTGATCCACACAGCACCTCTTATGTATTCTTGGGTACTGTTTCCAACCTTGCTGCCTGCCCCACATGGCAATTAGGGAGAGAGAATATTATAGATTTTGTCTTCCTTATGTACAATAGATCTTAAATGCTTAATTAGCATTCCCCTGCCCTAAATGTAGGTGATTTTTTTTTAAAATGCCATGGCTATGGTATCGTGTTTTTTCTCAAATCTTCTATTGGAGAGCTCAAAACAATTCTGAAGTTCTTTGTATGCCATATACCTACCCTGTGTGAGATTGCCACTAAAGTAAAAAATAAAAAATAAAGCATTGATTTATCAAATATAAATTGCTCATGTATTTTTCTCTCCAATAAATATCCATTAACTACTCCTTTTTCACAAAAAGTGCAAATCACAAAGGAAAATGTTGAAACATCACATTGGAAAATTTAAGAGTATTTGTTTTGGGATTCTGGTTTATTTTATTTTGAAGACAGCAAATCTTAAACCTTTAAGTCTTATTAGACAGTTTAAAGTTTTCATAACGTAGCTTATGTATCTATTGGGAAAATAAATCACCACTGACAAATCATATAGTAAATAGGAAGGGAAATAAATCTGGGAATGATGTTTCAACACATGCAGTCACCTTCATATTTCTGGAATCTAATTTTGGGTATAACTTTATGCTCTAGTTTTTAGCATTATCCTGAAATATTTGTTTAGTTACACAGTTTGTTAGTACACACTTTTCTAGGGATCCTAGACTGTACTTTTGCTGCTGCTCATCACAAAAGCCAAAATTGTAACCGTTGATATCTAGATTACTGTGATGTGATTAACATACACTGTGATCCTCTTTCCTTACAATATTTTGTTTCTGTGATAATTATCCTTTGCATGTATTGGCTACTTTGTTACCTGGCAGGAGCTCTTCCTGAGGGATCTATGACAATTCACCATGGCTAACTCATCATGGCCAACTCACCATGGCCAAGTCACCATGGCCAACTCACAGAGGGACATCTCAGCATGGTCAACTCGCCGCGGGACAATTCGCTGCTACACTAACATCAAAGAAATGGTGGAATAGAAGCATTAAAGAAAGGATGCAAAAGGAGAGACAGAATGAAATGTGAATGACAAAAAATAAAATATTTATTTGTTTTAAATAATTAAATTAAAATTGTTAATTTGTCCTGTGGCAAGTTAGACATGACAAATTATTCCTAAGCAAGTTAGCCATGGTGAGTTGGCTGTGGTGAGTTGTCCCATTCCAGGCCAAGAGTTCCTAAATTGGGGGTGATTGGGGCATATCCTGAGGATAATGGAGCAATTTGTGTTTGCTTGTTTGTGAGCTGAGGATTCATTTTGGACTTCCAGTGCCAAAACAAATGTATAAAACAAGAGAGTCTGATTTTGAGAAGTTGGGGAGTAATGACATTATTTGAGACTGTCGAAAAAGGGAGTAATCAGATAAAACAATTTAAGACCTACTATCTTAGATCCTGCCAGGATATTGATATTAAGATCCTCCCACCGTTGGGTGCTTAGGAACTTCAAACTCTGTGCCATGAGATCATGGGATCTTGGAAGTTGCAGGAGTTCATGACCATAGATGTTTCCATGGGCCTCTCCAGGGAGGACAAAGAGCAAAACACACAACACAATGCTGCAACATAAACTCTGCTCTTTTTGTACTTGTATCAAGTCACACACAAGAACTGGAGAGGGGGGGCAGAATTTGCACTTGAAATGCTTGTGTACGCATTGCCATTTTAATGAAATCTTTCTTTTACTGTGGAAGCATCTGGGCTTAGCCAAGTAATTTGGAGTTCATTTAATGGATATGTGCTTTGTTTAATCTTTGCTTCTGATCAAAGCCAATATGTGAGCAGGATAAAGAGGATATCAGACTGGCTGCATGGCCAGGAACAGATCCTTCCTTGTGGCTTTCACAGCTTGGAACTTTCACAGAGTGGGTGGGCCTGTTAGATAAATTATAGTGGGCACTTGGATATTTTGCCAGTGCTCTAGTGGGCATCTTTGTTGAGTACATGTTGGACTCTGGTATCAAGAAATGATGCAGGTGTTTGATCGGATAGCTCACAAGCAGCTCGTTCCTGCTGGCAAACTTTGGAACTACCTCAGAGATATAAAACTGTCAAGCCCAGTATTGACATATGTGTAGCCATTTTAATTAGGCTTAATATATGTTTTTTTTTTCTTACTTTCTCTTTGGCAGTCATGGGGGAAGGGTTTCGGGCTTGCCACATTCCTAAGGGGGGAGGAGTGGAGACAGAGTTGTTTAGGCTAGGTGATCATTCTTTCCATGGGAACCTGAGCTGTCCATGCCTAGGCACTGGAGGTGGAGATTTATAACATCAAGCAACGTTGAATTACTTCTATTGGACAATGTTACTTTGGTGGGGGGGGGGTTGTTTCTAACTTCTAATATGTGGGGTAATTCTGGGTTGTGTCAGATCCGGAATGACCATGGACTTTGCCAATTTGATGCTTTCCTAAATAAAATAAATTGTCTTGGAAGATGGACTTTGTGCTTTTCTTTTTAAAATGGATTTCATCACTTGGAAACTTGACAAAAACATTAGGTGAGCCATTAGGAGGACTGGTAGAACAAGTGAAAAGTAGATCTAACAAGCACCGGTAAAAGTTCACGTTCAAGCTTTTAGAGTGATGATAAGAGTGGCAAGTTGACAATGTTGCTGTTATTATGTTAATCGGTTGTCATCTATTCAGGGTGACTCATTGATAACCAGGAACTAATGGGTTGAAGCCCTGACACTTAATGAACAGAATCTGGAGAGATAGTCAGGACAGCAACTTTCATTGTAAAACGGGATTATTTTCAGCCTGTGGAGTCTGACACCCAGGGTCAATGTGCTGTGTTAGCATTTTTCTTGCACTTGTAATGGGCAGAAGGAATAAACTTGAGGAACATGGCAATGATACCGAGACATGGGCAGATAAAAAGAAATCTTAGTCTGGGGCAGAAATGTAGTATGAATAAAGGACTCAGACAGAATCCCCATGGTTCTCAGGATGATAAAGGAAGGGATGGGTAAAGCACATTCAGACTTGCAAGATTCTGTTACTGTAACATTATAATAAAATTAACATTACATTCATGACTTTGATTTCCTAGTCTGGTCTGTCCTGAAAGGCTCTCAGCATCCCTCAGCTATATCCCACATCTCTCTTGCCAAATCAATTGTGTAACCATAATTGAGGCCAAGATTTATCATGAGAAATATATGAGTTATTAATCACAATAAGCCACATTCAGAGTGTTTTAATTACAATAAATACTTAATGTAATCCTTCATTGCTGTCATTGTTTTGTTCATAGGTGACCGGAGGAGGCAGATGACTTTTAGCTAGTCTGAAATGATCTTGTAAAATACCATTCGCATCTAGCAAAGTGTTAGGTACCATGAGAAAATAGCTAATAAAGAGTAACAAAATTTATTTATGAACTCTTACCTCTTGATTGCAAACCGGGCCCACATGCTTCATTGATTCCTAATACACCTTGTCTTACTGAATCAGGCACCAATAAGCATTGACCCCATTTGTGGATCTTCCAACTGAAATGGAAACAGAAGAACAGTTATGATGCATCAAATTTAGTTTGTTTTGTTGGTTCTGATCTCCCCCCCCCCCCCACAGAATTTAATTAGGGGCTGCACCAATAACAACTTAGCTTACTCAGTTAGGGATATTGCTGGCCCTATCGTGTCACCTGATATGTCATGCTTTATTATTATAGCAATGGCTGGTGCCATGATGCTTGAGAGTAACAGGACCTATGTCAGTCTGCTACTTGTTTCAGCGATTCTTCCTAATTATTTAGAATAGAATTACTAAATAAACTCATCCACTTTAAATAAAATATTTTTTTAAAAATGCCAAAGTCTACTTCTTTGAGGACCTGATAATATCTGGATTCAGGAGACATGATGTTGGAGCACATATAATGGAGTTAGGGTTAGGTTACAAACTAATTTTTATGTTAATGTTTATATCAAAAATAATTCTAGACAAAAGTTCAACAATACCCATAGTTGGATCTTTAACACTTCAATACTTTAACATTTTTAATAGTGTTTCTTAAAATTTAAAGTTAAGTGTTAAATATCAAAATAAACCAATGCAAGTAGTAATATTTATGTACAAAATTGGACTCAAATACAATAATACAAACGAACCCTGGAGACTTGTATAGTATGTGAGTGGACCTTATTTCAAGGTGTGTTTTTGGGCATTTTGGTTTCCAAAATAGAATCTTCATGTTGTTACTGAAACTGTTTAATCTACTCATTAGTTTCATTTCCATAAGTAAATGATAACAGAATAAGTACTTCCATATATAAAACATTGCATTTTAATAAATGTATATTATAAGAAGCTATATAAAGCCTTGACTCATATATTCTCTTTTGTATCCTTCTCAAATGTAAATATAAGGATCATATCCTCCAAAGGTTGAATTATGTAGAGGCTGTCCCATTCACTTATGAAATAAAAACAGTTACAATTGTGAGCTTTTTGCTGCACTCTGAGCTTAGTTTTTTTTTCTTCCAGACATTTTATTACCCAGCTAGGTAACACCATCAGTACAGTAGCAATGATAATGTCACCTTGCTGATTAATGAAGTGTTACTACACTGATGAGGTTACATTGTTGGTGAATAAAACGTATGGAAGAAAATAACTAAGCTCAAAGAGCACCAAGGACCTCACAATTCAACCTTGTGCTCCAAATAAAGTTCTAAAGTTAGAATGATAGATAGATAGATAGATAGATAGATAGATAGATAGATAGATAGATAGATAGATAGAGATAGAGATAGAGATAGAGATAGAGATAGAGATAGAGATAGAGAGATATATAGGATTAGATGGGACTCAGGATTTTTCTGCATCTCATTTCAGCCAGGGATCCATGCTGAAAGGGTAATTTGGATTTAATCCAAGATCAGATCAACTCTTCTCTGAAGCCCTGAACCTTGTTGTACATTTATAAATAATAGCACATTATTATATACTTAGGTATATTACTGTATACCATAGTACACTGCTATATGCACAGCTATATTATTATACTGTCAATCAAAATAATGCATCGTCCAAAGAGGGCAATCAATAGGGCTGAACACATTTCGAAAACAATTTGGAAGAAAAGCTTTGGCTCTCTTGTGATTTTTAAAGCACAAGCCTAAGAAAAGGATGCCACTGCTTTAAGGAAGCCACTTCATTCAGACCAAGGCCTGAAAGTAAAAGGGTTGCTATGAAAAACGGGGATTAGTTTTTTTTCTAAATCTGTGCAGAAGCAAGTGCCTCACTGGTGATCTGAGGAATGCCATTCTGACGAATCGTATGTTTAGAGATATTTTCTTACTTTACCTGTAGGTGGGACAAAGTGAAACACCTTCACACTCTCTCTCTTCAAATAAAGTGTCCGGGCATTCTGTTCCTCCATTAAGTGCATCTTGAACGATGATCCTGTAGCGGGACTGTTTTTTTGCAGTGGTATTCCCTGAGGTATTTTCAAGCATATAAAAATGGTTTTCTATCAAGGATAGCCGATTTTGTACATCACTGATATTCACTTCTATTTCTGAAGTATCTCACTTACTTCAGACTTTAGTTATATAGGTAGTCCTCGATTTACGACCACAATTGAGTTCAACCTTTCCATTGCTAAGCAAAACAGTTATTAAGTGAGTTTTGCCCCATTTTACCACCTTTTTTTGCCACAGTCATTAAGTGAACCACTGCAGTTGTTAAGTGAGTAACGTAGTTGTTAAATGAATCTGATTTTTCCAATGACTTTGCTTGTCATAAGCTGGCTGGGGAAGTTGCAAAAGGTGATCACATGATCCTGGGGCAGCGCAACTGTCATAAGTACATGCCAGTTGCTAAGCGTCCAAATTTTGATCATGTGACCACGGGGATGCTGCAATAGGTGTGAAAACAATAAGTGTGAAAAACTATCTTAAGTCACTTTTTTCAGTGCTGTTTTAACTTCCAATGGTCACTAAACAAATGGCTGTAGGTCGAGGATTACCTGTTTTGCTTTTAATAAAGGATATTATGTAATTTTTATTTCCTGAAACCTTGACAATTCTTTGCTCCAATGGATCAGGACCAGAAAAATAGCTGATTATGGAAGAGCCCCTCTACAGCCAACCCTGCCCTTCCTAGTCTCATAACCATTCATAAAAATAAAGCATCAATGACTATTTTCAGGTTCAGAGTAAGTATTTGCACAGACGTGGCTCAACATGAAATTTTTTGAAAGAAGCATCCAGTGGGTAAAAAATATTACAGCAGAAGAAACAGAAAGAAAGAATGTGTGGGGTCTGGGATCATTATTTTTCTCCTTTTGACTTCTTACAGTATAGAAGTGCCTTGTCTCCATGGAATATGTATTCAAAGAAAATAAAGAAAGATCCATTTTCTATATTTGGGTCATCTTTAGCTCTGGAGTGGTTTTTTAAAAAAGCACCAGCAATCCACTTATGACAGATTTTCTTGGCTAATGCAATTCACAGAAATTAACTCTGGATATTAAGGTTTAGTTAAACAATACCACTTTGTTCTTCAGTTTTACTCTAGCTCTTTGAATATTACCTGTAAATTTCACAAAAAGACCCTATTACATTAAACCGCTCTGCATGTCAGTGGCAAAAGTACTTTGCTTAGAATAACTTTAAATACATTCAGATTTTTTAAATTTCTAAGCAAAGTGAGTATACAAGACAGAAAAGAACTAAAGAACTTTCTGTATTTCATTTTAAATTTCTCTTTTTAATTTTTGTCTTCCAATATCTGTTAATACCTTAAGCACTCAACAGAGCATGATAAGTCTTCAGTAGAAAACAGTCATTTTGCTGACATTTAACTGCAGGGCAAGCTAGACACCAATTGCCCAGTTCAGTTCTTCATATTTTATCTAACAGACTGCTGCCAACATCTGATGTGACTGTCAATGTTGTTTTCTTAAGCTGCCATTATTTTTGCAGATACTCTGTTTTATCACTGGCAAATTAAAACTTGATTGTGATTATGTTTGCAGCTTAGCCACTCAGCGGTTTATGTATTTGTTAAATAATCTTTTCTGTTTAATTTAGATGCATTTGCCATTGAGTGGTTTTCTAAATTTCCAGTTGTGCTATGTTTTTAATTGTGCAGCATAAATTAAAGAACTCACAAAATAGCAAATTAAAATTAAATCCAGTGTATAACATAATTCTTTACCACTTAGTTTGAATTTAGAACCATATTAAATGATAACTATTTCAATGAAATTAAATATGATGTTGGAGAGGCTTTTAATGCTACAACATTTCTTAATAAGCAGAATAAATGTATGTCTGAATTCATTTTCTTTATCTAATAACATATAAAAAACCAACAATTAATTACCATATTATTTGCTTTGTTTTAAATGGACTATGATTTTTTTTTCTTAAAATATAGTGCCATCGCCATTCACAAGCAATAGCTCATTTTTTATTCGTAAAAAGTGAGTAAAATGAATGAGAGCAAAGATGAGAATAAACAGAAGCTCAGTCAAACAAAGCAAAAATATTGCAAAAAGCTTTATATCAGCCTAAAAAAAAACCCATATTGTACCAGATATGGAAAAAAAATGCTGAGAAGTCCTTTCTCAGAGAGGGAATATGTTTTATTGTTTGGAGTAAGTAAAGAGAGGTAGTATAATGTTGAGTTCAAGATCAAACCTTTTCTAAGTTATGAACTTTGCCATGTGCTATTTCCAAAGATAGTCTTGTTGTTAAATCTTGTCTGAGATACATGTGGGAAGAGAAGAATACTTAGCCACAGCTTGCGCTTATTCTTACAACATTACTCTGACATTCTCTCCGACAACGAATTTTGGGGTACATCTAAATACCAATGAAAACCCTCAGCTTTCTATGTAGAATCTGAATTTATAGATTCAGATAGAGCTAAGTCAACTATCTAAGTCAGAATATATAGTTCATCTTTAGAATCTATTCAATCTTTCATACCAATAGCTATTATGGTTCAGCACAATTAACTCAAACATCCAGCTGAGGGTGATAAGTTACATTTTGTCACATTATTAAGTGGAACACTGGACTTAAAAGCTAAGTATGGTTGGGTTGGGTTTGGTTTGTATCTGAATGAGAACCTCCAGGGATTCCTTTGCTGAGAAGTTAAAAAAAAAATACAATAAGGCAATGGGAAACCACTTCCATATTTCTCTTCACCCTAAATAAATAGATATATCCTTCTAATCACCAGGAATCAAGTTCTCTAACTTTAATTATGTTTAGTGAAGGTTTAGTCAAACAGAAGTGACAATTCCTCTCCAAATATTAAGTCAAGATGCATGAACAGAAATATGTGTGCTTTGCCTACTGCAAAGGTAAACTCACAGTAGATTAGAAAGAACTGGGATGAGGAGGGGAATAGTATAAAGTGCAGGTTGGTACTGAATATGTGTCCATGAAGTCACCAGGAATCGAGTTTAACTTGAAGATTGGACTTTACATCAGCTGTAAGTATGTAAGATTGGAGCCAATGGGGAAAACATCAGGCAGTAGAGAAATAATCGTAAAAACAGCTGCTTTTCACAGCAATCAGTTTGTGACAAAACTAGATGTGAATGCAGGTAACTTACAATTTTTCTGAAATAGCAGCATCTGAGCTGCCTGAACAGCTCAAACTGTGGATTGGAGGGAGAGCAAAGAGATCTCTATCCCGGCAGGGTGAAAAGCTCCTCTCTGAAGGCTTTACTTACTGTATATTTGAAAGCCTTTACTAAGAAGGGATTTTTCATTGAAATGCAAGTAGATAACTTGGCTATTTGTAGACTCCATGGACAAGTGCTTGTTACCTTTGCCTCTCTCTAATAATACCCTGTGGCTCTTCCAAAGAGAATTCTGTAACCTCCTTGATCCTGTTCATCTACCCTGTTGCCTTCTTTTTCTTCTTCAAGCAATCTTGCCAAGGATAAAAATTTTGTCCTAGTTCAGCATTCACTGATATTACATGGCCCAAAAATGTGAGCTTCTGCTGACCAATAATCACAAAGTGGAAAAGCTATGTTTGTTTAATTTGGTATCCATTAACTGATTTTCTTTCCAGTCCATGATAATAATCATCTCCAGATTCATATCTAATTTTTCTCATTCTTTCTAAATGTTCTGGTTTCATACTCATACACTACCACTGGAAAAACTGTAGCTTTAACTACTCTGAACTACTCATAAATACATATTTATCTTTTACGATGTTTTTAAAGTTAATCATGTTCTATATCACCAGGATTAATTTCTGGTTTAATTTTTTTCCAGCTCATTCTCCATCTTTTGAAGCTAAAAATATAAAACTTTCTATCAACTGTCACTTCTTTACTATCAACCATCAAAGTTCACTGAGCCTTCGGGTTAAGATTACCTCTGCTTTCCAAATTTGGAAAACTAACCTTCATTGTTCACATTCCATTTTTATTTTTAGAATAAGCTCTTCTTCATCTTCTTTATTTTCTTTTAACAAAGCACTGTCATCTCCAGTTTTGATTTCAGCTGTCATCTATTTAAATCCTGCCGGTTTTTGTGATATATTCATTGCATAAATTAAGCAGATACAGTGACAATATATACCCTTGTCTCATCCCCTTCCTTATTCTGCTTCTCCAAATTTAGTTCCAACAGTAGCTTCTTATTCAAGGAAAAGATTCATCAGAGGAATAGTTATGTGCTCTGACACACCTTTTGATTTAATATGTTCTGTGTCAGACATTATCTCCAACAGTATTTTTCAAACTTGGCAATTTTAAAATGTCTTAAAGTTGCCATATTGGAAAAACCACGATCTACACAATCAAAAGCCTTAATGCCACATGAAGCAAAAAATAAACCTTCTTTTGCTCTCTCCACTACCTATCTTATGTCAACAATTGGACTGCATATCTCGCTCCCTTTTTAAATAACTGTGCATTTGGCATCTCTCTCATTTTCGTTAAGATCTTAAGTGAAAGTTTGCTTGCATGAGAGTTGCTGTGATGATTCGGTAATCTGTGTAATCTCTCAAATATACATATTATGGTATAATATCTACTTCAAACCTATTCTATATTTAGTGACTTAGAATTGTTAACACATGAATTGCCTCTTCTGTTGCAGTTTCAAACAGTACAGTTATTTTAATTGCACGTTTACTTTCCTATTGATAGCTGGGCTTTTATATCTCACCTTCTAATGGAATTGCATATAATCCCTTTTTCTAAAAATGTTTTTGTAGAGAACTATACACTTCCACTTCTAAATTGTGTCAGCATAATCTTTTCATCTTTCTTTCACCTCATTCGCTTCTATTGTTTACTACTGAGTATTTCTACCTCATGTAGAATTATTTTCCTATGGATTCTTAAACCATTTATTTTATTGCTATTTTATTCTTTTAAAAAAATTCTTTTTTACATTCTTGAAGTATCTTTCCTAGTCCTTTCTTGTATGAACTGGAAGCGTGAACTCAATTGTAGGTCCTGGCCCAATTACCAAGTCTCTCCTTATCCTTTCAAGTTTAAAAAAAGCCACTATGATCCCTTCATCTTTGAAACTTTGGGATTTATTTTGTTATAATGGTTTTATGGTGCCCATTATTTCTTTGCATAGCATCTCACATTCTGTACTTTAAATAGATCTGATATAACGACTCAAGATCAAGTTTTGCTGGCATTCCTGCTTTCTTTAAATTTGTAAATTTAACCAAGTGTTTGATAACAAACAATGAATAGTTTGTACCACAATTTAATCTGGAAGTGTCTTGGTATGTCTCCTATTTCTATGAAGCATTTACCTAAATCAAACCTTCCTGTAAAGTAGTTCTGGAAGCTTCAATTTGTCCAACTCTGGGATTCTAATAATCTTTTAGAAGTTCTTTATCTTTGCTTGATGTTGCATTGACAACTCTTACAATTTGCCATAGAATATCCCATTATCTTCTACCATCACATCTGTACTAGGTACATACAGTACACTTCAGTTCTACTGACTTGAATTCAAGTCAATAGAACTGAACCTATCATTTATTGGCTTATTGCCAAGCATATCCTTAGCTATGCCATGTTTTTAATGTTAATTTCATTGCCTTCTTTCATATGGTCTCATGTCCTGAAGAGTATATCATGTATTTAAAAGGGTCATCAGCTACCTGAGATGACTTATTCTAAAACATTCTATATAATATATTTTATTTCATTTCAAAATTTATTTCTAATCCAAAACTTTACTAAGTATTGGTTAGGGTAGGATTGAACAACTGGAGAATTGATTCTGACTCTTCCAGACCAGCTTACCATGTTGACAGATGGTAGGGCAGCGTGTCCATTCACTGAAGGGGGTCACTACACAATCTTTCTTACACGGGAGCAAGCATGAGCGGATGGTTTCTGGCTTAATGGATTCTGGACACCTGGCAATACAATTGTATAACATGTGGTTAGTTAGGTGCCCCTGGATTGAATGCAATTCTGGGTAACTGCACAACAGTCCTCTAAACCCCAACATTACTTTAGCAAAACAGAATCCCTACACTCATCTAAGAACAAGTCACACTTACTGTAGGAAGCCTGCACGTATACCTAATTTATTTCAAAACAGGAACTGTACAATTACACACAGAAATATAAATTATAGTAACTGCCGCTATGAAATAAAAAGTACCCACCTACTTGCCATCAATGAGAAAACACTGAATAGCAATAGCACTTAGACTTATATACCGCTTCACAGTGCTTTACAGCCCTCTCTAAGCAGTTTTACAGTCAACCTATTGCCCCCAACAATCTGGGTCCTCATTGAACCCACCTTGGAAGGATGGAAGTCAACCTTGAGCCTAGTGAGATTCGACCTGCCAAACTGCTGGTAATTGACAGTCAGCAGAAATAGCCTGCAGTACTGCATTCTAACCACTGCACCACAGCTCTGAATGCAGTATTGCTATGTGCAGGTAGTTAGACAGAAAAGAGATCTCTTCAGGTTTTTTTTTGTGTGTGTGTGTTTTGTTTTGCAAGGCATATTGAATTATTTTTCTGGCATTCCCTAGTGAAACTGAATTTAGCAGGCTGGATTTTGAGTTTCTTTTATATATATATAAAAGAAA